AAGCACGAGTGCTTCGATTCAAAAGATCATCCCACCTTAACCATCAGATCTGATCAAGCGAAACAGCTACATACAAATCAAATCAAATCATCATCTTCGCAATCAGCCGGAGTGCACCACAACCTCATCAAGAACAGTGGTTAATCGAGTATACCTCGGCCAGCTGCTTGCCGTCGGAAGGAAACCACTTCGGTCGTCCGGAGAGAGAGAGAGAGAGAGAGCTCCCGATCAGCCGATCTGAGAATCCTGATCACCTCCATGCTTCACTTCACCAAGGACCACAACTGAGACCAGAGCCTACATACATCCTCATCAACTGTCCCATAATCACCCCTTTCAGGAAACACTTCATCTTGTCTAGTGCTCATCTTTTTGTTCTTCTTGACTATTTACATATGTATCGATCAACTGTCTTCATCTTCATCATCGCAATATTTCCAACAACAACAACCCTTACTGTCTATCTTGTTAATCTCTGGAAAATTGCTCTGGTCTTCCATTATCTATGCGATTGGGATCAGGATCAGGATCAGGATCAGCTCATCATGGTCAGAGATTATTGTAAGCTCCTTAGTAGAAAATGTTGGCCACTTGGTACTGCAAAGAATGAGAATTATAGAACCAAACCATATAATCATTCAATCTAATTAGAAGAATAAGTAAGAAAATTATCATCAAACAAACAAACAAACAAAACACATTCTATATTGTTTCTTATGTATGTATGACTATTAAGGCCCAGATTGGGGGCAATGTATATTGGAGGACGTCCTGCTACCATCGAGAGTGTTGAGACCCCTCCAAGTTACCCTGTACAATCAAAAACACACAACACATGATCAGAGCAATCACAACAAGGCTTCCCAACAGGGGGAAACAAAAAACGCCTGCAAGAATTCAGATCTACATAAGTGGTGGTGGAAGTCAAATCCTGCAAAGGTTCTCACTCCCAATGGGAAGACTCCCATTAAGCTTTGTGTTGGACAGCCTGATGATCATAGACGTCAGATACAATAAATAGGATATTACTCAGACAGAAATAGCAGTGTGTTCCTGTTTGATTGACAATATCCTGGCCAAACAGGACCTAGCAATCCTGACATGATCAAAGAAATCAATTGAAAGCCAAGAAAACTGAAAAAAAATTGGTGTCTACTTGTCTCTAGATGATGTCTCAGATCCATTGCAATATCAAAGCAAGTCAATCCAGGAAGAAATATAGAGAAGAAGAAGAAAAAAAAACATAAAAACCATAAAAACATGCATAATGATATAAAAACATAGAAAAAACATAGAAAACATAGAAAACTAAATGAATAAAACAGAAAAAATAGAATAAAACATTGTAAAACTTCCCCTGCAAGTGGTATCTGATTATATGAAAGTGTTACATATTGATGTTGATTTATCACAAGCACCTTGAAGCAGGTTCCATGAAAATCAGCCAGGTGCCTGTGCCCAATCTCTAGTAGTGTTCCACCTACTGATGAACAATCAATACTGGTCATTAAAGGTGGAAATTAGTGTTTCACCACCAAGGACTGCTATTGATCAGTCATCGATGGAGGCAAGTAATTTGGATGTTGGTGAATGACCAGTTGTGATTGGGAATGGTGAGTGCACTTCAATCAATGGCTGGTGTTGACCGGTGATTGAATGGAGGGAGAGTGTATCCACTCCATTACTGTAATGAGTCAAGTCATGGGTTGAGGGGTGTATAATATCTATGTATGCAATGGATGGCTGGTATATTCCAGCCAACCGGGTCACAATGAGATGACACCAGAAGGTTTCCATAGGTGAACCAGGTGTAAACGTTTCTGCTGGGTCAAGTACTCCTGGTGTCTTGAAACTTGACTAGAATATTAAGTTGCACAGTGTGTGCAACTCTACTGGTGGGACGATAAAATGTTTCTGGTAAAAAGCTATTGGGAACCCCCCCCCCCCTATTCCTAATCTCTCCTCCAAATCTGGTGGTAATCAAAGCAAGTCCCCAAATGCAATGGATTCCAACACCCATTCCGGTACCACTCTAGAGAGAGAGAATAAAAAAGTGAGTGTGACCCCTACACCAGATTTTTTTAAGAGTGAGTGGAGTTGAATTTGAATGGACTTTTTGATCTTTCAATAACAAGCCAAGGGTTCTGGACTGGATGTCTGAGAAGGACAGCCATCACCCAATACTCACTTGATAACAACAACAGAAGATATATATTTTCTTTGTGCAAATATTGACGCTCCAGTGGGACTGCAAAATCCTGTGTATGTTGTTACAAATGGGCCCTGTTATGTGTGCAACAGACAGATGAAAACAGCCAGGATTGATAATGGGAAGCATGCTGAGCTGAACCCAATGCCTCACCTTTCATGTATTGATTTCTTTCCTGGTGTATATTCTACCCTCATCTTCTTTTTGTCCATCTACACAAAATTTCCTTTCTCTTCACCTATAGCACCTACTAGGGTCTCCCAAACCATCTCTTTCCACAACATCAGCATGATGATATCCAAAACAAAAATGCTGATTATTATTATATTACAGCTTAGATGGTGGTTTTTATATTTGGGATCACCATCTATACAGATGATCATCTGATTCTCTGCGACAAAAAAAAAAAAAAAAAGG